ATCAATCAATCAATCAATCAATCAATCAATCAATCAATCAATCAATCAATCAAAAAATAAATAAATCTTCCAAAATCACTTTTCTGTTTAAACGAGGCAAGATTCTGAACAGCCCATCTATTTCAGTCTAGGTAAATTTTGCTTACAAATGAATACTAAAATAAAATAAAAACAAAATTCTGGCTCTACCATCAGCGAGGCAGGTGTGGCATACACGCAGGTCCTCTATCCAGGGCCACAACTGGAATCAGAACTTCCATTGCTAAGCATGGCGTTTGTTAAGTGGCTCGCATCTCATTTTACCTTTTTGTTGTTGCTGTTTTGGCCCTGAGCATTAAGCAAATCCCTGCGGTTGTTAAGTGAATAACAGGGTCGTTAAGGGACTCCAGCATGCCCCGTTAACTCCCGATTGTCGGAAAGCGTCTGGGAAGGTTGCGTATGGTGATCACCTGAGCCCAGGATGCTGGCAGCTGGTCATAAACACAGGCTGGTGGCCAAGTTCCCAAATTTTCATCACTTCGAACTGTCACTAAATGAGCAGTCATAGACACTAACTGGGGAAGCCAGTCAAATACAGGGCCATCCTCAACTTAACAACAGCTTGTTTAGTGACCGTTCAAAGTTACAATGGCACTGAAAATAGACTTATGACCGTTTTTCACACTTACGACCTTTGCAGCATTCCCCACAGTCATGTGATCAAAATTTGGACGCTTTGCAACCGGCTCCTATTTATGACGGTCGCAGCGTCCCGGCTGTCACGGGATAAAAATTCAGATGCTTGGCAATTGACTCATATGGATGCAGCGTCCCGGCGGTCAGGCGATCCCCTTTTGTGACTGTCTGACAAGCCAAGTCATCGGGCCGTGTCAGGTTCACCTCACAGCCGTGTTGCCAACTTAATAACCGCAGCAATTCCCTTAACAACGGTGCCGAGAAAGGTCGTAAAACAGGGCCAAGCTCGCTTTAAGGACCGTCCGACTTAGCAACAGAGATTTCAGGCTCAACTGTAGTCGTAAGCCGAGGACTCCCCTGAGTGGGAAGGAGATGGCAGGATCAGGCTGAGACCCAGGGAGGGCGGATGTCTTCTTACCTTGGTGACCCGTGGGGATTGGACCCCGGGCTGGTGGCCGACGTCAAGTTCTGCTCTATGAGCTGGTAGTTCCGCAGCTGAGTTGGGACCGGGATGGGCACCGTTTCGCTCCGGGGGGAGACGGAAGGCTGGCACTGCCTGTAGGGGGGGGGCAAGGAGAGATGCAATTAAGAGAGGCAGGGGGCAAACCTCTGGACCAGAAGGAGCGCCAGGAAATCCTCTTCTCCCCGGGGAGAAACTTTCATGGCTGACTGCCCCCCAACGGCTCAGACAACGGAGGGGGTGCCCTTTTGCGAATTCCCCGGGAGGGGAACTCGCTCAAGACTGAGGCCTGGGTGGAAACTTTAGTCATGCAATATATAAAAAGAGGCTGCAATAGAAAAAAATAAACAGATTTAATAATAATAGTAATAATAATAAAGTTGGAAGGGGCCTTGGAGGTCATCTAGTCCAACCCCCTGCTCAGGCAGGAGACCCTACACCATTTCAGACAACTGGCTGTCCAGTCTCTTCTTAAAAACTTCCCAGTGTTGGAGCATTCACTGCTTCTGGAGGCAGGTTGTTAATAATAATAATAATAATAATAATAATAATAATAATAATAATAATAATAATAATAATAATAATAATAATAATAGTTGGAAGGGACCTTGGAGGTCATCTAGTCCAACCCCCTGCTCAGGCAGGAGACCCTACACCATTTCAGACAAATGGCTGTCCAGTCTCTTCTTAAAAACTTCCCATTGTTGGAGCATTCACTCCTTCTGGAGGCAGGTTGTTAATAATAATAATAATAATAATAATAATAATAATAATAATAATAATAATAATAATAATAATAATAATAATAATAATAATAATAATAATAGAGTTGGAAGGGACCTTGGAGGTCATCTAATCCAACCCCCTGCTCAGGCAGGAGACCCTATACCATTTCAGACAAATGGCTGTCCAGTCTCTTCTTAAAAACTTCCAGTGTTGGAGCATTCACCGCTTCTGGAGGCAAGGAGTTCCACTGGTTAATTGTTCTAACTGTCAGGAAGTTTCTCCTTAGTTCCAGGTTGCTTCTCTCCTTGATTAGTTTCCATCCGTTGCTTCTTGTCCTGCCTTCAGGGGCTTTGGAGAATAGCTTGACTCCCTCTTCTTTGGGGCAGCCCCTGAGAGACTGGAACACTGCTATCATGTCCCCCCCCCTCGTCCTTCTCTTCGTTAAACTAGACATACCCAATTCCAGCAACCATTCCTTATATGTTTTAGCCTCCAGTCCTCTGATCATCTTTGTTGCTCTTCTCTGCACTCTTTCTAGAGTCTCAACATCTTTACATTGTGGTGACCAAAAGAGGATGCCGTATTCCAAGTGTGGTCTTACCAAGGCCTTGCAAAATGATATTAACACTTCACGTGATCTTGATTCTCTCCCTCTGTCAATGCAGCCTAGCACTGTGTTGGCATCTCCTTTTGTCTCCTCCTCTTCCTCTTTCTGACTGTTTTAGGCAGGGCTGGCGCCAAGCCCTGCTTCTCCCCCCCCCGCCTTCCCCCCTCCTTTCCAGCTTTTCCCAAAACAAATCTCCTTTCTAGGAAAACCCACCAGGGAAGCCAGAACAGGAAGTTCAGAAGTTAGAGAGGCTGGAGTTTGTTTGTTCCAGGCTGAAAGTCTTTGGGAAAAGGACTGGGGGGGGGGGGGGGGGGAAGAGAAGAAAACAGATGATGCCAGCCCTCCCTGGAGAGTCAACAAAGCAGCTGGAGCACCTGAGCAGAGAGGGGGGGGCACACACCTGCGTTAGTCTCCTAGGGCTGCAAATTCCGAGCCAGGGGTGCAGCCTCTGGAAGGAAGCCGGGCTAAGAATTTGGCCCATTTCTGTTCCTCTCTCCCCCCCCAAAAAAATAAAAAGTCCAGCTGGATGGCTTCGAATGCCTTCCAGATGGTAGAATTGGAAGACGCAGGAGGCAAGGAAGATCACTTCCATCCCGGTGACTTACGTCAGAGGAGAGAATTCTGGGAATCCTATCTGCGTAGGACATACGATGAGATTGTTCAGAAGACAATGTTAAGTGTGGGCAGTCCTCGACTCGCAACTTTAGGGAGGGGGGGTCCTTGAGCTTACGACCGTGATGGAGCCTGAGGTTTCTGCTGCTAAGCGAGACACTCGTCAAGTTGGGGAATAGCTTGACTCCCTCTTCTTTGGGGCAAAATCTCAGGGGATGCCACAACGAAGTGGGTGGGGGTGTCAAGCTATTCTCCAAGGCGCCTGAAGGCCGGACAAGAAGCAACAGATGGAAACTAACCAAAGAGAGAAGCAACCTAGAACTAAGGAGAAACTTCCTGACAGTTAGAACAATTAACCAGTGGAACAATCTGCCTCCAGAAGCGGTGAATGCGCCAACACTAGAAGCTTTTAAAAAGAGACTGGGCAGCCATTTGTCTGAAATGGTATACGGTTTCCTGCCTGAGCAGGGGGTTGGACTAGATGACCTCCAAGGTCCCTTCCAACTTTATTTTTATTATTATTAACAACCTGCCTCCAGAAGCGGTGAATGCTCCAACACTGGAAGTTTTTAAGAAGAGACTGGACAAACATTTGTCTGAAATGGTATAGGGTTTCCTGCCTGAGCAGAGGGTTGGACTAGATGACCTCCAAGGTTCCTTCCAACTTTTTATTATTATTATTATTATTATTATTATTATTATTATTATTATTATTATTATTATTATTATTATTATTATTATTACTACTACTACTACTACTACTACTACTACTATTACTATTATATGCAGCAGATAGGATAACTGAAGCATAGGTGGGGGCAAGGTAAACACACACACCTGTTTGCTGAACCAGAAAGACTACCACCGGAGGTATTGGGGGGGGGGGTTCTGAAAATTGCCAGCGCTTTCCCAAAACGTTTAACCGACTCTGTCTGTCAAAGGCAGGGGTAGGCAACCTTGGCTCTCTTATGACTCGTGGACTTCAACTCCCAGAATTCCTGAGCCAGCATGGCTCAGCATGGAAACCTCTCCCTTTCCCCTCAGCATGGCTGGCTCAGGAATTCTGGGAGTTGAAGTCCACCAGTCCTAAAAGAGCCCAGGTTGCCTACCCCTGCTCAAAGGGGACACCGGCAATTAAAAAAGAAGGGAAGCTATTCTGAAGGCTCTTTTAGGCTTCGGTTAACTTTGGGGGCCGTCAGGAGGAAAAAAGGCAACACTCCCCCCCAAAAGAACCACGCCACACACATACTGTACACCCCCCTCCAGCAGCGATGTCACTTACCCTCCGCAGATCAGGAACTCGCTCGAGGCTCTCCGGCCCACGGTTGCCAGGGGCAGATCGTCTGTAGGGGAAAAGAGACGGTTCACACCACTAGGCTCACTTGACACACCAGTGGCTGGTCCACGTGCAACACCCCGATCGAGGAACTATGAACTCAGATAAACCAGCTGACAGAAAAGGGCAGTCTAGTCAAGGGACTACTAAGAATACCCCCAGCACTGACAGGGCAAGGCACTAGTATGTAAACAGAGAGCAAACCCCACTCCCTTCTAGCACTGATGACGTTACCTAGTTGGGTCGTGAAATGTCTGCAGGAAAAACCACCAAACAGTCCTCCTTTTACCCCTCTTCTGCTTCCTCCTCCTTTTCTCCTTCCACCCCCCCTCCTCCATTCCATAACCCCCCTTTTCTTCTAGCACTGATGACGTTACCTAGTTGGGTCGTGAAACGTCTGCAGGAAAACTGCCAAGCTCAGAGAGCACCGGGGACTCCCACAGTCCTTCTCCTCCTCCTTTCCTTCCTCTTCCTTCTCCCTCTCCTCCTCCTCCACTTTATAAACCCCCCCTTTCCTTCTAGCACTGATGATGTTACCTAGTTGGGTCATGAAACATCTGACAAAAAAAAAAACCCAACTCAGAGAGCACTAAGGACTCCATAGTCCTCCTCCTCCTCCTCTCTGCAAACCCTACTCCCTTCTGGCACTGATGATGTTACCCAACTGGGTCATGAAATGTCTGCAGGAAAACCAACAAGCTGAGAGAAGACCAAGGACATCCATCCATCCATCCGTGGGTCTTTCTGTCCCTCCCTCCATCTACCCACATTCATCCATCCATCCACCCCTCCGTCGGTCCCTCTGTCCCTCCCTCCATCTACCCATATCCATCCCTCCCTCCCTCCATCCCAGCCTAATCAAGGAACCACCAAAAACATTCCCACCAACACTGACAGGGCAAGCTACGATAAATGAACAGAGAGCAAACTCAGCGTCCTTCTAGCACTGATCATGTTACCTAGTTGGGTCATGACACGTCTGCAGGAAAAAAAAAACCAAGCTCAGAGAGCACCAAGGACCCCACACTCCTCCTCCTCTTCCCCTCTGCATACCCCACTCACTTCTAGCACTGATGATGTTACCTAGCTGGGTCATGAAACGTCTGCAAGAAAACCACCCAGCTCAGAGAGCACCAAGAACCCACCCCAGTCCCCCCTCCTCCCTTCTAGCACTGATGATGTTACCTAGTTGGGTCACGAAACGTCTGCAAGAAAACCACCCAGCTCAGAGAGCAGCAATGACCCCCACAGTTCACCGCTGAGCTATAAATATCCTCCTCCTCCTCCTCCCTTCTAGCACTGATGATGCTACCTAGTTGGTTCATGAAACGTCTGCAGGAAAACCACCCAGCAAGGAGAGCATCAAGAATTTGTAATGTATTGCAGTAGCGACTTGAGCCTGCAGTATAGCAGTCAAAAATGCCAAGGTGCAATCAATCAGACCGGTCTGTCTGAAAAACGTTCTGAATATGATATTGAAGGGAAATAGAGAGGGAACCTTGAATGATGTAACCTGAGATATATATATATGAAGGATTCTGTTATTGGGCTAATGATTACCCTATCACAGTGATGGCGAACCTTTTAGAGACCGAGTGCCCAAACTGCAACCCAAAGCCCACTTATTTATCGCCGGGTGCCAGGTAGGCGTGGCCCACTGGGTGGGCGTGGCTGTGATCATGGTGGGTGTGGTCAAGGTGGGCGTGATCACCTTGATGTTGCTCGTGGGGAGGGACGCCTGTGGGGGCCGGGCAGGGTTGGGGGAGATCCAGGGAGTCTCTGGCAGGTGGGATTGTGGGCAGAAGGCTCGTCCTGCGGGGTGAGGTGAGGCAAGGCGAGGCAGGGCGGGGGTGCCATTGTCGCAAGGCAAGGCGAGGCAGGGGCCGGGGTGGCTGCTGCCTGACACCATCGGCCCCTGCACACAGAGGCCAGCGAGCGCATGGGTGCTGGGATGCATCCGGCCACGTGGGACCTCGGCGAGTTAGCGGACGGCTGGTTGAAGAGGGACAGTTGCCATCTCCGGGGCATGGCGCGCGTGCCCACAGAGAGGGCTCTGAGTGCCGCCTCTGGCACCCGGGCCATAGGTTCGCCACCACTGCCCTATCACCACGCTGCTTCCTAATCACTTGCTTGTAAAAATTTGAAAAATTAATAAAACTTGTAATTAAAAAAAAAAACAAAAAAACCCCACACAATCTAACTAACACTTGCCACCCTTCGCCATGGGAGACAGTGAAAGAGCCCGCAAAGGGACACCAAGAACTGGGGAGCTGCTGGAGACCCATCTAGAAGGAAACTTACACGACTGATCGGAGGAGATGTTGTGCGGGACCAGGACAAAGTCATCCGTGTCGCAGGAGGAATTCTTGCTACTGGTGCTGGCAGAATCTTTGGATACCTGAAGGTAATTCGGAGGCCCCAAGGGAGGCGAAGACAGGTTGTCTTCTTGGATGTGCTGCATATCTGGAAGGGACTGGAGAGAAGATGGAGGAGTCAGAGGCAACAGGTTAGCAAAGGTAGGTTGGGGGAACTTCCACCTATTATCTCCTTACAGCAGCGGTGTCTGAACCGTGACAGCTTGCAAGACCCGTGGACTTCGTCTCCCAGAATTCCCCAGACAGCCAGGTTGAGACTTTGGAAAAAGTACAGAGAAGAGCAACTAAGAACAGTGGTCTTCAAACTTGGCCCTTTTAGGACTTGTGGACTTCAACTCCCAGAATTCCTCAGCCAGTGGAGGAATTCTGGGAGTTGAAGTCCACAAATCCTAAAAGGGCCAAGTTTGAAGACCCCTGAACGAAGACGATTAAGGGCCCGGAGACAAAAACGTATGAAGAACGGTTGCAGGGTTTGGGTATGGCCAGTCTAGAGGAAAGGGGTGACAGGATAGCAGTATTCCAGGATTTGAGGGGCTGCCCCAAAGAAGAGGGAGTCAAGCTATTCTCCAAAGTGCCTGAAGGCAGGACAATAAGCAATGGATGGAAACTAACCAAAGATAGAAGCAACCTGGAACTAAGGAGAAACTTCCTGACAGTCAGGACAATTAACCAGTGGAACAACCTGCCTCCAGAAGCGGTGAATGCTCCAACACTGGAAGTTTTTAAGAAGAGATTGGACAGCCATTTGTCTGAAATGGTATAGGGTTTCCTGCCTGAGCAGGGGGTTGGACTAGATGACCTCCAAGGTCCCTTCTAACTTTTGTATTATTATTATTATTATTATTATTATTATTATTATTATTATTGCACAGTTTTTCAGCCTCTCATCCCTGGCGGCTCATGTTTTGCCCTCCAAGATCACTTGACTTTAGCTCTCATTCGTATCCTGCCTTTATTATTTTTTTTACAAATAACCCATATCCAACACATTCCTCCTCCTCCTCCTCCTATTTTCCTCCCAGTAACAACCCTGTGAGGTGGGGGGGGGATTGGTCCAAGGTCACCCAGCCCGGTGCCATGTCTACGGCAGGACTAGAACTCACCGTCTCCTGGTGATGGTCCCAAAGTCCCCCAGCTGGCTTTCACGCTCAAGAGGGGACTAGAACTCACCGTCTCCTGGTGACTGGCCCAAAGTCACTCAATTGGCCTTTGTGCTCGACAGGACTAGAACTCACCGTCTCCTGGCGACTGGCCCAAAGTCACCCAGATGGCTTCCATGGGTAAGAGATGGGACCAGGAGTCACTGTCTCCTGGTGATTGGCCCAAAGTCGTTCAATTGGCTTTTGTGCCTAAGGCGGGACTAGAACTGGTAAAACTGGTGCGTGTTTATATTTCCTTATTTTGAAAGCTGTAAGGAATATAATGTTCCCAGTTAAGGACTGCTGCAAAAGTGTACAAGCGCTCAGAATTTTAAAATGTTGTGTTTTATCCGGAGAAACAAATATTGTAACAACTGTTCAAAATAAGGACTGCATGCCTGGGATAGGCAAAGCATGTGTCAGGACTAGAATGGGAATGTTCTCATTTTGGTTTGGACCGTACTGGTCCGGTACTGATTCACTAATTTGAGAGGAAGACGTACAGTATGTCATTTCCCCCTTTTTTGCACTGTCTCCTGGTGATTGGCCGCTTTTCATGCCTAAGGCGGGACTAGAACTCCCAGTCTCCTGGTGATTGGCCCAAAGTCACCCAGCTTTCATGCCTAAGGATGGGACTAGAACTCCCAGTCTCCTGGTGATTGGCCCAAAGTCTCCCAGCCAGCTTTCATGGATAAGGCGAAACTAGAACTCCCAGTCTCCTGGTGATTGGCCCAAAGTCTCCCAGCCAGCTTTCATGGATAAGGCGAAACTAGAACTCCCAGTCTCCTGGTGATTGGCCCAAAGTCACCCAGCTTTCATGCCTAAGGATGGGACTAGAACTCCCAGTCTCCTGGTGATTGGCCCAAAGTCACTCAGCTTTCATGCCTAAGGATGGGACTAGAACTCCCAGTCTCCTAGAGATTGGCCCAAAGTCACCCAGCCAGCTTTCATGGCTAAGGCGAAACTAGAACTCCCAGCCTCCTGGTGATTGGCTCAAAGTCACCCAGCTTTCATGCTTAAGGACGGGACTAGAACTCCCAGCCTCCTGGAGATTGGCCCAAAGTCACCCAGCCAGATTTCGTGCCTAAGGTGTGATTACAACTCGCTTTCTCCTGCTTTCTAGCCTGGTGCCTTAACCGTTGGATGAAACTGAGTCCCATATAGGATTCACCTCCGATACCACTTTACATTTTCAAATTACTCATTGGAACTAGAAACTGTGTTGGAAGGAAGAAATGAAGACTTTGAACGTCTGAAAAAAAAATTCATTCAACCAAAGCATTTTTACTTTTGGCCGATAATAAGCTTGGACAAGCTTGAGTGCAAATGCAGTTTCCGGCTACGATTCAGGGCCTCCTACATTGCTTGTTTGACCTGAATATTCCACAAGCAAAACACATCCTGTTTGCTGAGCAGTCACCCTTCTCCTTAAAGCTCACAAGTAAACAGTTGTTGGGTCCAAATACTGCAGCCAATTTTGGTCACCTTATCACAAAAAAGATGCTGAGAATAGAATAGAATAGAATAGAATAGAAAATAGAATAGAAAATAGAATAGAAAATAGTAGTAACTGTGAGAGGGACCTCGGAGTCCTAGTGGACAATCCCTTAAATAGGAGCCAGCCGTGTGCTGCAGCTGCCAAAAAGGCCAACACAGTGCTGGGCTGCATTAACAGAGGGACAGAATCAAGATCACGTGAAGTGTTAATACCACTTTACAAGGCCTTGGTAAGGCCACACTTGGAATACTGCATCCAGTTTTGGTCACCACGATGTAAAAAAGATGTTGAGACTTTAGAAAGAGTACAGAGAAGAGCAACAAAGATGATTAGGGGACTGGAGGCTAAAGCATATAAGGAACGGCTGCTGGAATTGGGTATGTCTAGTTTAATGAAGAGAAGGACGAGGGGGGACATGATAGCAGCCTTCCAATATCTCAGGGGTTGCCATAAAGAAGAGGGAGTCAAGCTATTCTCCAAAGCGCCTGAAGGCAGGACAAAAAGCAACGGGTGGAAACTAATCAAGGAGAGAAGCAACCTGGAATTAAGGAGAAACTTCCTGACAGTGAGAACAATTAACCAGTGGAACAACCTGCCTCCAGAAGCGGTGAATGCTCCAACACTGGAGGTTTNTGGAGGTTTTTAAGAAGAGACTGGACAGCCATTTGTCCGAAATGGTATAGGGTTTCCTGCCTGAGCAGGGGGTTGGACTAGATGACCTTCAAGGTCCCTTCCAACTTTACTATTATTATTATTATTATTATTATTATTATTATTATTATTATTATTATTATTATTATTATTATTATTATTATTATTATTATTATTATTAAATAGAATGGAATAGAACAGAAAAATGAATAGAATAGAATAGAATAGAATAGAATAGAATAATGAATAGAATAGAATAGAATAGAACAGTGGTGGCGAACCTATGGCACGGGTGCCAGAGGCGGCACTCGCAGCCCTCTCTATGGGAACACGTGCCGTTGCCCCAGCCTTGCCTCCCCCCGCAACCCACTCCTCACCAGCAGCTCCCCTGGAGGAGAGTCGCCCCTGAGCGTGGCCCACCTGGAGCAGCGCAGCCAAGGACATGGCAGCCAGGCAGCGTAGACAAGACTCTGCCCTCACACCCCATCATGCACAGTTGATGCTGCAGGGCACAGGCAAAGGGCGTGACTGCCATAGTGCTGCTAGGTTGCCTGGGCGATCTGCAGCAGGCCCTGGAGGCGGTGAGTGGCCCTGCGGGCAGGTGGGATGGGGGATGGGGGGCAGAGCGGGGGCAGGGCAGGGGGTGGAGCGGGGGCTGGTCCAGTTTTTGGGCACTCGGTCTCTAAAAGGTTCGCCATCACTGGAATAGAATAATGAATAGAATAGAATAGAATAATGAATAGAATAGAATAATGAATAGAATAGAATAGAATAGAATAGAATAGAATAGAATAGAATAGAATAGAATAGAATAGAAAATAGAATGGAATGGAATGGAATAGAATAGAATAGAATAGAAAGGAATGGAATGGAATAGAATAGAATAATGAATAGAATAGAATAGAATAGAATAGAATAGAATAGAATAGAATAGAATAGAATAGAATATTCTTTATTGGCTGGATTGGACACACAAGGAATTTGTCTGGTGCATAAATTCTCAGTGTACACAGAAGCAACAAGAAGCAATAATAATAATAACAGCAACAACAATAGAGTTGGAAATGACTTTGGAGGTCATCTAGCCCAACCCCCTACTCAGGCAGGAAACCCTATACCATTTCAGACAACGGGTCATAGATCATAAATCACAGTTACAATCATTAAATCATAAGATACAAACAACAAGCGATAAATCGTAAGGATAGAAGAAGATATTAGGAAAGATGAGAAAAGATGAGAAACGAGAAGAGAAGAAAGATGATAATAGCCATACAGCCTACTATATTGGTCAATTTCTTAGGCCTAAGACAGTGCTGAGGGAATTAAAGATGGAAGCTTAATAAAGAGAGGATCCAGCCTAGAATTAAGGAGAAAGCTCCCGTTGATGAGAACAATTAATCAGTGGTGGGGACACACTCTGATGCACAGAAAATGCCCATCCATCTGCCCCCCCCCCTCAGAAATCACAGAGAATCAATTTTCCAGAACTTACTGGGGGAGAAGCAAACCGACAGGAGGGAGAGCTACCACAGGATCCTCCAGAGACGGATCCAGCCGGTGCTGGAACAGGTACGGGACAAGCTGAATGGAGGGGGGAAAAAAAGACAGAAATGTCACCACAGACAGGTGGGCTCCAAAGAACAAACAACTGCAGGATACCTGGGCAGGTGCATGCCCTGCAGGCTCTGAAAAAGATGGGCTGCGGTCTAGACTAGGGGTCCCCAGAGGTGGCAACTTGAAGACTTTTGGACTTCAGCTCCCAGATAGGGATAGGTCAGGGGTAGGCAAAGCATGTTTCAGGACTAGAATGGGAATGTTCTCATTTTGGTTTGGACCACACCGGTCCGGTACCGATTCACTAATTTTTCAGAGGTTTGGGAGGAAGGTGTACAGTATATCATCCCCTCTCCCCCCCCTTTTTTTTTTTTTTGCAAATTCACTGTCCTCAGAAGTCTTAAAAGTTGCCAGGTGTGGAGAGCCCTGGTACAGAGTGTGCAAATACTGAAGAAGGCTGTCCCAAAGATGTTTTTTTCAAGAAGTAACTGGACTTTCTTGTTTTTCTTTGAAGATGTTTCGCTTCCCATCTAAGAAGCTTCTTCAGGTTCTCCCTGGATGGTGAGGAATGGAAGGATTTATACTCCTTGCAGACAGCCGATCATTTGCTTTCTTTTAAAGAGTCGTTGAAGCCACTTGGAGGTTTGTCTGTGTCCTCAGGGTCACCTGAGTGGTGCAAAGATGTGTGGAGCCTTCTGGCTGCAGGATGCTTTTGTGTGAGCCTACGACCAAGAGGCCATCTGTGTCAAAACTGAACCGCCCTCTCTCAACAGAAGGGGAGGGATACAACACAGTCCTTTCAGCAGTCCCAAGAAGGCTCCACACCCATTTGCACCACTCAGGTGACCCTGAAGACACAGGTAAGCCTCCAGGTAGCACTAACGACTCTCTAAAGCAGACATGTCAAACACAAGGCCCGGGGGCCGGATGCGGCCCGCGAAGCCATCCTGGAAACAGTGAGGGAACGGCCCCCGCTGCCTTGGCCCTGGCCCAGGCCGTCCGGGAGCCAATGTACACTTTTGTGGTGGCCATCTATGCTGAAACACATTCAGTCTTAGCTCCACAAGGCCGTCCGGAAACAGCGAGGAACCAGCCCCTGCTGCGTCGGCCCCTCCCCCTGGGTGCATGCTGGGGAGGGGTCACCCTTGGTGAGGAATGAAGAAATGGACCATGCCTTGGCGCTTGCCCTGGTCCCACCCCCTTCTGCCAGAGACCCCCAGATCTCTCCCACTCCTGCCCAGGCCCCCACAGGCACCCTTGACGCAAATGGTGTAGAGGGGGCCACGTCCACCCAGTAGGCCACGCCCACTCCATCCACGCCCACCCAGTAGGCTGCACCCATTCTGGCCACACCCACCCGGCCACCCCAGGGCAACTGCAATAATGATGCGGCCCTCAATGAAATTGAGTTTGATACTCCTGCTCTAAAAGAAGGCAAATGACCGGCTGTCTGCAAGGAGTATAAATCTTTCCATCCACCACCCTCCAGTCAGAGCTGAAGAAGCTTCTGGGATGAGAAGCGAAACGCCTTCAAAGGAAAAACAAGGAAGTCCAGTGGCCTCCTGGAAAAAGCGCTTTTGGGACAACCTTGACCTGGAGTGCAGAGAATCTCCACTGACCGAAGGAACCCGGTAACAAAACATTTGGAAACCGACCCACAAGCTCGGAGAACGAAGCTTCGCCCTCGCTGAAGAGACAAACGAGACAGGGAAGCCCTCGGTTAACAACTGCTCGTCCAGTGACTGTTCAAAGTTACGACAGCCCCGGACGAGGGGGACTTACGACCTTGAAGTACCAGCCATCCCAGCGGTCCTGCGATCATGATCGGGGCATGTGGGAATCGGCTTGCATTCATT